GATTGAGGTGGCTTCGCGTCTTCGCAGCTTGGCGCGTGCTTGCGCTGATGATGTGGGAGGCGTCATTCATGAGTTGGGTATGCTGCGGGAGTTCAAAGTGATCTTTGATATGAGTAAAAGAATTGCGGGCCTCGAGCTGAAGATTTGCAAATGCTGCATAGTTCCATTGGCTGGACCTTTTACCCCAGAACTTGCTGGCCGCTATCGCTGCTGGCTGAACACTCACATACCAGAATGGGCTGGCTTTCAGATCATCGACGCGGCGCTCTACTTGGGCGTGATTCTTGGTCCAGCTGCAGGAGACCGTAGCTGGAAGGCCCCACTCCTGAAGTGGGTGAGGCGCGCGGCCCAAACTAGTGCTGCGAATTGCCCCGCGGCCGTCACAACCTACCTGTATAATAAGCGATGCGTCTCTGTCCTCTCATACGTTGCCCAGTTTCTCCCGCTGCCTCTCTCGCCATCCTGTCTTGCTAGCCCCACGCTTCGCTGTGAGCACGCTCTGTTCTCGTCTCTGTTCAAAGTCCCATTCTGCTGCCTCTCGCGCGCGGGTTGGTTTGAATTGGATAGGTGGGGTGGCCCACCGCTCGCCTCCGTCCTAGCTCTGTCGCTGGGCACGCTGCAACGCTCAGCCTTAGTCACTTTTCCCGAATGGAGGATCTTGTATAGGAAGCTCGAAGCGGCCACTCCTGAGCTGGCTCTTGCGGATTTGGCTACGAATAAGCGTGGCCTCCTCAGCCCTGGCTTCTGGGAGGCCGACCCGCTCGTGGTCAACCTGAAAGTCGCCGCTGAAGGATTCGCCTCGATCCGCCCGTGGAAGAAAGCAGGTGCCTGTGGACTTTCCTCCGCCCTCGACCTCCTGCGTGCCTCGAGCGCCTCCGCTGCTGATGCCGCTGCTCCCGCTCGTCCTAAAATCCAAGGCCCTGTTGTTAGAGCTATTCGCGAGAGCCTGTACCCTGCCTGCCTCGAGGAGCAATTTCGTGCCCGTTTGTCCGCCGTGTGGCCCGAGCTGGGTCCGAGGTTTGCCGTGGTTGATCTGAAGACTTATTGCTCCTTGATGAAGGCAGTCCCCTTCCATGTCGCCCAAGCTGTGTGGAAAACTCTCGCAGCGGCGTGGACGACATCGGAGCGCATGCACAGTAAGACACGCTCGAAATGTATTCTAGGTTGTGATGGCCGCGACACTTTTAAACACTATTTCTCGGATTGTCCATGCTTCCGTCAGTCATGGACCCGTGTGATCGGTTATGGGCTCCCATCCTGTCCTGTCGCTCTGTTTGGCTTTCTCGCTGACCCTCCCCGTCCGAATGTCTTGGACCTTCCTGCTGCTGCTTACATCCTCCACACCCTGGCACGTGCTCGCTTTAACGCGCAGGGCACGTTGTCCGCCGAGCAAATTCAAGGGCTAGTGCCTCAGGCACGGGCCACTCTCCGGCGCGGGCGTGGCGGTCGCGGCTAAGGAGACTTGCGGCGCCGCGGCTACGTGCGAGGAGGAGGAGGAGGAGGAGGAGGAGGAGGAGGAGGAGGGAGGAGGAGGAGGGAGGAGGAGGAGGAGGAGGGAGGAGGAGGAGGAGGAGGAGGAGGAGGAGGAGGAGGAGGAGGAGGAGGAGGAGGAGGAGGAGGAGGAGGAGGAGGAGGAGAAGGAGGATGAGGAGGAGGAGGAGGAGGAGGAGGACCTCTCCATCCTCCCTTCTCCCCCGTCCTACCTGTAGTGGTGGTGGTGGAAACTTGGCCCATCGGATCCCGCTCGAGGTCCCGCTCGCGGCGTGCGCTGTGGCCGACCCTCCACCACAGCCTTCGGCCTGCGGCCTTCCCTCTGCCTCCCCTCCCTCTCTCCCCGTGCGTCCCTCGTGTGCCGCTCCCTCCCGATGGCACGGCCTGTGGGGACTTACGCGTTGTGTCATCACGCTTGCCTCGCCGTGGCCGTCGTCTCGAGGTGCCCGCCCTCTCCCTCCCCCGAGAGAAGGCCACGCCGCGCACGGAGCCGGGGCCAGAGTGCGGGCCCGACGCGCGCCCCTCCGCACATGCGGCCGCTGGCACCGAAGCCGACAGACCCGAGAGTGATCTGCTCGGCCATCGAGCGCAAGTTGTCTCGCGGTACTTTGAAGGGCTCCTGTGAGCGGGGCAGGTGGCCGGGCGGATTGTGAGGGAGGGGGGAAGGGCAAGTGGCACGGGCAGCGGAGAACTTCGCACCCCCCTATGCATAGGTTCACCTGATGCTGCGGACGATAGCTATCCGCAGGCGCTTACGTGAAGTGACGATGCCGCTCGCTCGCCACCTAAGTTTAGAGCGGGGTCGTGCAGGGGGACCCCCTCGGTCGCGGTCTGTACGCTGTGCTCCCCCCCCCACGCGCGGGCGCCTCCCGGAGGAGGCGACGGAGCACACGGGCGCGATTCGCTTCGTCGCTCGCGAGGGGGTGAACTCCCGCGGCCGCAGCTCCGGAGCGAGAGCCCGCCTTGGCGTGGCGGGCCCTGTCTGGCGGCGGGAGGCCCCTCTCCTCCCCGCGGCTGGCTGCCGGGAGGGCCCCGCGGCTCGCAGCTCGATGGAGCCCCCTCTTCTTGGAGGCGGGAGGGCGGCAGCGCCTCGGTGGCTCGAAGATGGAGCCCTGAGCGAAGGGGTCCTCAGGACGAGGCGCCTCCAACAACGCAAACCCACCCCCTGGACCCCGTCCTGTCCTCAGGTCCCCTCCCTCCTCCCTCCTTCCTCTTCCCTCCTCCCTCCTCCCTCTTCCCTCTTCCCTCCCTCCCTCCCTTCCTCCCCCCTCCTCCTCCCTCCTCCTCCTCCTCCTCCTCCTCCTCCTCCCCCTCCTCCTCCTCCCGTCCCTCAGGACCCCATCTTTGAACCACCGAGCTGGTCGGCCGGTTCCCCACAGAGGCCCTGCAGCGCGGCACCGCCCCCCGCTTTCGTCTGCCCGCCTGAGGGCGCCCCCCCCCCCCCCTCCGCACTGTCAGAGCTCGCGCGCCCTGGCCGCTGGTCTGCCCTCGGGGCGGGGAGGAGCTGCAGCGCGTGGGCCGGGCGGGGGTTCGGGAGATGCTCGGCGCTCCCCCACCCCCTCCATAGGGGCTTGACGACTTTTCGCCAATCGACTTGCGGGGATCGAGCCAGATAAATGCAGATAATCCATGTAAATGCCGATCAATCCGTGCAAATCCAAGCAAATCCAGAGACCTTCAGTGACAGTCAGAGCAAGTTGCGGCCGCTCTAGCGCGATTCGAAGGACGGCAGAAGTCGTTGAGCCTTCAACGACTCCAGCCCCATCCTGGCGGAAGGTGGCGGCAGTTTCGCCACTGGGCGCGCGCGTGAGCGGGCGGACGGAGCTCGCCGTCGCAGCCCTGGCCCCTGGATGCATCGTGGACTGCACGCCTGCTGCGCGAGGTGCCGCGGGCTCCTGGCCCGCGTGGCCTGGTGGTGCTCCAACTGCTGGACCTCTGCCCCGGCCTCATCCACAGGCTGCGGCTCGTCGCGGTTCGATGATGGATCACTTCCCCTCCAGGCCCAAGGTTCGCATCCTTTCCCCATCCGCGCTGCTGCGCAGCGAACTTATCATCACCTTCCTCCTGCCCCCAACCGCGCATCAAGCAGATCGCCCCCTCCGCCATAGGAGGGGAGGGCTTCGCGGCGGATGGGCTCCCTCAGATTCTGCGTCGCCGATACGGCTCGTATAGAGCGTCTCTCGCAGTGGACCTCCTGGACACTGCGGGGCTTCGTCGCAAGCTTGCGTTAGTGCAGGCGGGGTGGTCGATGATCGCGGATGGATCTCTCTCGGGGTCACCGTGCGCCTGCGCCCGCTTCGCGGGAGGGCCGCGGGCGAAGCTCGAGCTCCAGGTAAGCAGTGGGCGACATATCAGGTACCACGCTGGGAGTTGCTCATGCGAGAAGGGCGGCAGTGAGCGAAGGCCCAGCTACAACGCTGGGAGTAGTTCATGCGGATACGAGCTGTGGGCAGAAGATCGAGCTCCAGGCAGGCCGTGAGCGGCATAGCAGCTGAAACGCTGGGAGTAGTTCAGGCGAGAAGGCAGGCAGTGAGCGGCGCATCAGCTACAGCGCTGGGAGTCTCTCAAGCGAGACGGGTGGCAGCGCGCGAAATCTCAGCTACAACGCTGGGAGTAGTTCGTGCGAGAGGGCAGGCAGTGGGCGACACACCAGCTACAGCGCTCGGAGTTGTTCATGCGAGAAGGCAGGCTGGGGGCGACAGATCAGCTATAACGCTGGGAGTACTGCATTCGAGAAGGCAAGCAGTGAGCGACATACCAGCTACAACGCTGGGAGTAGTTCGTCTGAGCATGGCGGTAGTGAGAGACATATCAGTTACAATGCTGGGGGTCTGAAGGACAACAGTGGCAGTGCACGCAATCACTGCGAGAAGTGTGAGGAAGGGCAAGGGGTGAAGCCGAGCAAGGCCCGCCCCAGGACCCCTGCCGCAAGGCGTGGGCAAGGGTAGAGGTGGGCGAAGCATAGCCAGGCCCACCCCGTAACCCCGTACGAGGGGAACCAGGGTGGAAGAGGGTGCACATAGCTGGAGCCGATGTTACTATCAGCTACATACGGAACTTCTGCGCAAGGCTAGACTTGTCTGGACGCCCTCCCATGTCGTCCAGGCTAGGCATGGGGGATGGTGGATGCCTTTTTTCCGTCGGCTCCATACCATCGCGCAATGAAATTGATCAGGCCAGCAGATTCAAGCAGAGTTCCTCATTCTTTCCTCCCCCGAATTCTTTCCTCCCTCGTCCCCCCTCTCCTTCTTCCATTCCGCCCTCCCTGCCTCCCTGCCTCCCTGCCTCCCTGCTCCCCCCTTCCCTTCCCCTTTCCATCCTCCCCTCTCTTCCCCTCCCTCGCCCTCTCCCCTATCCGCCCTTCTCCCTCGCCCCCCCCCCTCCACGTGGCCCGCCCCCCTGGCCTCGCCGCTGCCCTCGGCCTCCCACCCCTCCCCCCCGAGCCGCGATGGCCGCCGCCATCGGCGCGCGCGGACTGGCCGCGACCCGCCGCCGCCGCCCCCGCGCAGGCGTCCAGCCAGATGTACAGCTGGGCCGAGCCGCGCGGTGTGGTCAGCGCCGACCTCGGCGGCCCGCGCGCACGCGTCTCGAAGGGGGGGTGGGGCGCAAGAGGCCAAGGGGGAGGGCTGTCGTGGAGCGCCCTCAAAAGTTTAAAGTGAGAAGAGCTAAGGTAGCCCATCGGGGCCAGAGGGCCCCTCATCCTCCGACTCCTCCTCCCCGCGGCCCCGCCTGGATCGAGGAAGCGCAAACACGGGTTAAGGCGCGTGGATCACCGACGGGTCCCGTTTCCGTTCGGCATCGGCCCGTTCCGTCGTGAGATCGGGCGAAGCTGGCCTAACGCTCGACCCTGATCCGTGGATCCCGGCGCTCACCCGCCAGACCCACGGACTTCTAACATACATTTGAGAGCGCGCCCGCACGGTCCCCACCCCGAGGACCTGCTCGAGGCCCCGCGCCACGGGGCCGAGTGCCTTCGGCGCGGCGGCCCAGGGGTGCGCAGCCTCTCGCCTCCGGCCTCCCCGAGGGCGGAGGGTGGCGGAGCCTCGTGGCGGGCGGGGCCCTCGTGGGTGGCGGGGCCTCGTGCGGGCCTCGTGGGGGGGCAGCTGCGGGATGGCGAGGAACTGGGAAGGAGCGCGTTCTGTGGTCGCCCGTGCGCCGCCCCCTCCCCAGATTCGCACGGGGGGGGTGGGCTCCCTAAACTAACTCCAGGCTCCGAACTCTTGGGAGGCGGGGGCCCTTCCCAACCCGTTAGAGCCTCGATGGCAGACAACGACGACGGCGACGACGGCGACGACGACGACGACGACGACGGCGGCGGCGACGACGACGATTGCGACGACAACGACGATGGTGACGACGACGACGACGACAACGATGGCGACGACGACGACGGCGACGACGGCGACGACGACGGCGACGATGGCGACGGCGATGGCGACGACGATGGCGCCGGCGACGACGGCGACGACAACGACGATGGCGACGGTGACGACGGCGACGACGACGACGACGACGACGGCGGCGACGAGGACGACGACGATGACGACGATGATGACGACGGCGACGACGACGACGACGGTGATGGCGACGACGACGATGGCGACGACGACAATGGCGATTGCGACGACGACGACGACAATGGCGACGACAACGACGACAACGAGGACAACGACGACGGTGGTGACGAACGACGACGACGACGTCGACCGTGACGACGACGGCGGCGACGAGGACGACGACGATGACGACAACGACACGACGACGTTGACGACGACGACAACGACGACGTTGACGACGACGACGACGACGACGACGGTGATGGCGACGACGACGACGGCGACGACGACGATGACGATGGCGATGACGACGACGACGACGAAGACGTTGACGACGACGACGACGACGACGACGACGGCGACGACGACGACGACGACGGTGATGGCGGCGACGACCTTGGCGACGACGACGATGACGATGGCGACGAACGACGACGACGATTGCGACGACGACGGCCTCGACGACGACGACGACGATGGCGACGACGACGACACGACGACGGCGACGAGGACGACCACGACGACGACAATGATGGCGAGGACGACGACGACGACGACGACGACGACGACGACGACGACGGCGACGACGTTGACGCCGGCGACAACGACGACGACGACGACGGCGGTGACGATGACGACGACGTCGATGACGACGATGACGGTGACGACGACGAACGACGACGATGGCGCCGACGACGAAGACGACGACGATGGCGACAACGCCCATAAAGACGACGACGACGATGGCGACGACGACGACGATGGCGAGGACGACGATGACGATGTCGACGATGGCGTCGCCGACGATGACGATAGCGACGACGACGACGACGACAACGAGGGCAACGACGACGACGACGATGACGACGACGGCGACAAGGACGACGACGACGATTACCACGACGACGACGACAATTGCGACAACGACGACGTTGGTGACGACGACGACGACGATGGCGACCACGACGGCGACGGTGACGACGACGATGGCGACGACGTCGACGACGTTGACGACGACGACGATGGCGACGAAGACGACGAGGATGACGACGACGACGATGGCGACGACGACGACGAAGACGATGGCGACGACGATGGCGACGACGACGACGAGGGGGGCCAGCAAACACGCACGACAGCGACGACAATGGCGACAAGGGGGCGGCACGCGCAAACGAGGATCACGTCGGTGGCGTCGACGATGGCGACGTGGACGACGAGGATGACGACGACGATGGCGGCGACGACGACAGCGACGACGAACACCACGTCGAAGATGATGAGGACGTCGGCGACGAGTCCTGCCCGCCCAGTTTGGACGCGGAGCCACTGACTACAGGTTTCAGTAAATGTCCCGCCCTCCCGTCCTGAGATTTTTGCGTTCGTGATACATTTTCACGTGGCTCTCTCCTCACAAAGAGTGAAGATTGCATTTAATGTCCCGCCCGTCCATATGGACGCCCCATCAGTGAATGAATGGTTTCTTTAGTGTTGCGTTTGTTGGAGCGGCGTCTTCGGCGGTTGTGATTGATTACCTTTAAACTGTTTCATTGCTCACCGTGAAGGTTACATAGAATGCCCCTCCCGCCCAATTTGATCGCCTCATCGCAGATTACAGGTGTCATTCATTGTCCCGCCCGCCCGACCGCCGTTTTCGGCGGTTGTGGTCGATGTTATAGGCTTGCGCCACATCCGCCGACCCCTTGATCGTCTTGGGGATGTCGTGTTGCTGTCCTGGGGCGTACTTGTGCTGTCTTGTTTCTGTGGGTGGGCGGGCTCGAGGCTCTTCGGGGCCATCTCCGAGCGAGTCCAGGGGCATGTGGGGCCGTTCACGGGGCCAATCTTACACGTCTGGAGGCCCCGAATGGGGTTGGCGGATGCGGGTTGCATCGCATGTGTCCAGACACGCGACAAGGCAGTGATCCGTGGCGGTGGTGATGGTGATCCGTGGTGGTGGTGATGGTGATGGCGGTGGTCATGGTGCGGGTGATGGCGATGATGATGCTGGTGGTGATGGTGTTGATGATGAGATGCGGAGATGGTGACATGGTACCAAACAGGAGAAAGCGGAGGAGGAGGAAGAGGGGGAGGATGGGGGAGAGGCGGAGGAGGGCCGTCGGAGGAGGAGGGGCAGGAGGAGTAACGATTTGAGGAAAATGCCTGTCAACACCCGCGCCCATAGACGGCATGCGGCGGTCCAGAAATTGGACGAGTCGTTGTCGAATGGGACGCGGCGCATCCCGCCACCTTGCGCGGTATACAGGTAGGCGGCCACACGGATGGTGTAGGAGATCTCGTGCGAGGCCTGACGGGGTCGTCTTGCAGGTTGTTTTGGGGCCTCTTGGGGACTTCTTCGTGGCTTCTTGGAGGCTTCGGAGGTTTTCTGGGAGGTCCCGCAGGCCCTTTTGAGGTGTTCTTGGAGCAGGCTGGGAGCGTCTTGGAGCCGAAGGCTCGAACAGGTGCCCTGTGGACTCCACGTTGGAGCCGTCTGGGGGCCCTCTTGGGCTATCTTGGGGGCTTCGTGGGCTGTTGTTGGACCCTCAGCGACCTTGCTCTGGGGCCCTTTTGGCCGTCTGGGAGCGATGTTGAAGGTTTCTTTGCCTGTTGTGGACGTTGTGATTGCCGAGTAGGCGAACATGCGGAGTAATGCGTGTTTTCAAAGGACATGGGCCGATTTTTGTTTCTTGCGACCCTCTCGGGGCGCATCTTACGGGCCTTTTTGGGGCGTCTTGGCAGCTTCGGAGACCGCCTGGAGGCCATCGTGGGCGTCTGGGGGCGCTATGTCGGCGAATCGTGGTCCCGGGGGCCGTCCGGGGAGCGTTTTGGTTGTTTTTGTTTGGGCGAGTTTTGGTATTTGTTTGGCGAGTTTTGGAGCCCTGTGACGCGTTCGGTCTGGGGTCCGGCCGGGCCGGGGGGGGGGGGTCGAATTGCCAGTTTGGGGTCCTCGGGGGGGGATTATGGGGGGGAAGAATCTCACGCGCCTAGTGACCCACAAGGGGTCGGCGGATTACCTTTTCACTGTTTCCTTTCACGCAGTCAAGGTTGCCTATAATGTGCTGCCCGCTCAAGTTGGGCGCTACATCACTGACTACATGTTTCACTGATGCCGTTCCGCCCGCCCGAGCGGCATTTTCGGCGGTGTGATCGGTTTTCCTTTGCTGTTTCATCTCGCGCAGTGAAGGTTGCATGTGATCCAATTTTCCGGCCCGCCCACTCTTGACGCTCAATCACTGACTGCAGGTTTCATTATATGTTCCGCCCGCCCGACTGGCGTCTTCGGTGGTTGTAATTTATTTTTGCATGAGCTTCTCCCAACACAGGGCAGATGTCATTTGATGTTCCGTCCGCCCGAGCCGTTCACCGGCTCGTCGTTGTCGTCGTTTTCGCTGCCGTCGTCGTTGTCGCAGTCGTGGCCGTCGCCGTCGTCGTCGCCGTCGCCGTCGCCGCCGTCGCCATCGCAGTCGCCGTCGTCGTCGCCGTCGTCGTCGTCGCTCCAGATGGGGAAGGGAAGGGCAGGGCCCCCCCCCCCTGCTCCCAATGAAACGCGTGGTGTGGGGGGAACTTGTAGGGTGCCTCCCCGCACCGCCCCTGGTTCCTGGGAGGAGGGGTGGGGGATCTGTTCAAGGCAAGCGCCCGTGAAATGCGCTCCCTCGGAGCTGGAGGTCGAGGGCAAATAGGAGGTCGACAAGGGAAGGATGCCGAGGAGAAGAAGACGTTGTGTTCGAGGACGAGGAGAATCAGCAGAAGGAGGAGGAGGAGGAACTGGAGGAAAGTAGGAGAAGGCTCAGGAGGAGGAGGAGGAGGAGGAGGAGGAGGAGGAGGAGGAGGAGGAGGAGGAGGAGGAGGAGGAGTCATCTTCTCCGCTTGGTCATGCTCCTGCTGCTCGTACTGCTCCTGCTGCTCGTCCTGCTAATGCTGCTCCTTCTGGTCCTGCTCCTGGCCCTTCCTCTTCCCATTCCCGCTCCTCCTCCTCCTCCTCCTCCTCCTCCTCCTCCTCCTCCTCTTCCTTTTCCTCCTCCTCCTCCTCCTTCCTCTCCTCCAGATGTCTCGGGCTTTCGTGCTCGGATGGGGGCATCGTGTGTGTGTGTGCATCCGTTGCAAAGCGTTTTCGACAGGCAGTGATGTCCGCTACCTCAGATAAAAGTGCTGTGAGCAGCCTGCATACGCTCGGAGCGCTAGGATTACCGGGATCAGATTCGCGCTGGCAGGCACCCACATCTGAACTCCGCTCAGGTGGACGTTGAGGCAAACAGTGAGATCCGATTATTTGACCAAGCAGTCGTGTTGCACCAGTCTCCTGCACACGTCTTTTATCTTATGCTGCGTGGGCGTGTGCTCTTACCATCGGCGCGATGGTGCATGTACGTCTGCCAGCGTACCAGGAGTGCCGAGCTCGTCGGCGGCTCGGCTCCCACAGTCCGAGAGGACTTGCGAAGTTGCGCTGCAGAGCAGCGCCGCGGCATAATCCCCCGCCTCGTCCCTCCTCGTCCCTCCTGCTTCTGCGCCCCCTCCGCACTCCCGCCCCCGCGCGCTCCTTCCTTTCCCCGCCCCGCTCCTCGAGTGGGCCGTCCCTCCTCGTCCCTCCTCGTCATCCCCTCCTCGTCGCCCCTCATCGTCCCTCCTCGTCCCTCCTGCTCCTCCGCCCCCTCCCCACTCCTTGCCCCCGCGCTACTCCCGTTCCTCGCCCCGCTCCCCGAGCGGGGCCGCCGCGTGGCGCCGAGGCGCCATCGTCGCGGGCCCCACGGCCACAAGGGGGGAGCGGGCGTGGCGCCAGGGAGGGGGCGGCGGCGGCGGAGTCCGACGAGGCAGGAGGAGGAGGAGGAGGAGGAGGAGGAGGAGAAGGAGTAGGAGTAGGAACAAGAGGAGGAGGAGGAGGAGGGGGAGGAGGAGGAGGAGGAGGAGGAGGAGAGGAGGAGGAGGAGGAGGAGGAGGAGGAGGAGGAGGAGGCAGGAGGGGCGGCGGCAGCAATGTAGGACGGCGGTGAGCAAGTGCCAGGGGTGGGGGGGTGGTTGCGTCACGCTCCAGCGCCCTGAGCGATGATTGATACTTTGAGCTCCATGCCGGCTCGTTGGGCGTTGGGCGTTGGGCGGCGTCGTCGTCGTCATCGAGATTCCCTGGCCCGTTCTCTCCAATGTTTTCCAGTAGCAGAGAGCTTTTTAGCATCAATCGATCGTTCTCCTGCGTTCTCTTCTTGTCGTCATGCTACATTACGCTGCGCTGCACCCGGGCCCGATAGGCCCCAGCGGCCAGCGGTGTCTTGCACCGAGCGTCAGAGCGCAGGGCGGGTGTGGGGTCGGTCGGTCGCGGCAGCGCAGCAGGGCGTCACGCCGACGTTCGCCGTACGTAAAGGGAGATGGGCGACTGGGCGCGTCGGCCCGTCCATCCCGCCCGCCAGATAGATCACCTCCCCCGGTCACGCCGACGCACGGGGGGCGGGGCGAAGGGGGCGGCCTTCTAAGAAGACATGGAGCTTCTCGGGAGGCATCGGCCTCTGCTCGAAGACCTCGGCGTCCTGCTTTGTCTTGGAGGGGCAGGGCCCCTTCTCAGACGGCCGTCCTCTTCGCTCTGCCGCCATTGTGCTTGACGACACGTCTGCGGTGCAGGCGCGGGCGCTCAAGACGCCTAGGCCCCTGGCAGCCTCAGGTGCCCCCTGGGTGCGCGCCGTGGTTCGAGGTTGGCCGAAGCCCGCGCGGTGGCCAGGGGGACCAGAGCCCACGCCGTCAGGACCAGGTGAGCCGCAGCTGGTGGTGGGTCAGGGGGAAGATGCGCGAGCATGGAGGGCGGAAGGGGAGGATGGGGGAGGAGGAGGAGGAGGAGGAGGAGGTGGAGAAGGAGGAGGAGGAGGAGGAGGCTTGAAGTGATATGGCTTAGGGGCGCCTTAGCCCCAGTGGTGGGACCAGAGGCCTGGTGTACCACCTTGCTGTGCCACCCGAGGACACGACATGTCCTGCCTCGGGGCAGTGCAGCCAGTGGGATCACATTCGATGACCCCTTCAGGCTCAAGCTGCGCTAATTAGGCTTTCCTGCCGTTCTCTCGCTTGCCGATCGGCTTAAAGAGACACGACTTGATCAGTTCAGTGCTTCTGAGAACATATTCTTACACAACCTCTCTAACAGGCCTACTCAGGATCCGAACGCTCCAGGGCATTTAACAGATTACCATGGTGCGCCACTCGAGAACAGGGTAACTACGGAGTATCATGTGGGATTGCTGGGAGGCTTCCAAGAAACACCACTGGCACCACGTCCTGCACCCGTCCCAGGACATTGTCCTGCCTCGAATGCGACGATTCAGCTTGGCCATACTGCCCGATGAGGAAATGCAGCTAAGAGGGTCGAGCACGAATGCGCCTGGGCTGTTCTGCCGCGTCTGCGGCTGGTCCCCGCTGGATCCCATTCGGATCTCTCCAGTGGGCTGGGGGCGTCGCCAGCCGCTTCACCAAGTTGCTTTCATTACGCCATTGTCCACTCTAGGCAGCACAGGCGTGCTTGCTTGCTGGCTGAGTGTGTATAGCTGCACCCATTTCCGTACAGAGCGGACTACACAGTTGACCCTTCAGAGGGCACGATGGGGCGGACAAAGTATGCCTTCCCTTGCACCGTTTACACCAGCATGTCATGGAGACGGTGCGCGAGAGGGACTCAAGTTTCACTCATAATGGTCCCACGACGCTCCTCCGGGGCATGCAATTTTGCACATGTTCGCGGTTGCTACACATGGTTACCTATGCAGTCATTCATGCACGCCTTCTGGCCTCACCCCCAAGGGACTGGGACTGGAGGCCAAATCTGGGAAAAGACGACGATTGTGGGACGATGGGGGTATGTCCAAGAGGGAGCGCGGACCATTGGAGCCTCGCTACCACCCCGAAAGGTGCTAAGGCAGCGAGGAGGAGGAGGAGGAGGAGGAGGAGGAGGAGGAGGAGGAGGAGGAGGAGGAGAGTCCCGATCTGCATGGGTCCCTTGCGGGACCTGTGCAAGGGGCGCTTCCCCCAAGTTTGGGGAACCGTTTCCCTACCAAAGGCTCTTGCGGACCAGTGGTTCCTCCTCGGACGTTCGGCTCGAGCCGACTGGAGAGGATTATTCAGGAACACGTGTATCCGCCAACGGCCACTGCGGACACACGGTTTCCCCGCGGCCGTCCTGCGGCGACAGGAGAGCTCAGGAAGCCACTTGTCCGCCAAGCGTTCTCGCGGACAGATGGTTTCCCCGACGCCGTTTGGCTCGCGCCCAACAAGTTTACGCAGGGCAACCTGGGCCCCCGCTCCGCGAAGATCAGACTGACAGGCAGGCACAGCCCCCCTGAAACCCTGATGGCGGTCTACCACCTGACGGGCCCCGCAGGGAAATCGGCACGACTTTCGCCCACCTGCTTCCACTTAGCATGGCCAGCAAAGATTGTTGTATGCTGATGTCGGGGTGCGAAGTATCGTAAGTACAGGGTCCGGCTTGAAAGAGGAACACTTACTCTTCAAAAGGGGCTCGGTCGTTCCTTTGGTTTGCATGCGTTCCGCTACCTTTGTGGCGGCGAGCCCCCTGGTGTTCCTTCGGACTTCGTGGACTTACTTGGAACAGAGAGGGGCTTCGTTCCCTATTCATCGTTCCTCAGGTCAGGCCGAATACTGTACGGAGTGCGCCGCGACCGCCGCGGTAATTCAATTCGGATGTCTCGCAGCCTTTTGGGGCGGGCCAAAAAATGCCCGAGCGCGTGAAGAGAAGCCCTCCATGTGCAGGCGGGGAGTTCCTGTGCCCGTCCGTCGACGGGGACGGGCTTTCATAGCTTTCAGTCGGGCCTGTCCCTCCACAGGAGGAAAATTCAAACACACTCAAAAACAGTAGTAGGGGGAATATGTTTTAAAACTATGTTCAACCATTTTGGTTTTTCTGTCATGTTCAATTTTTATTTTTTCCTCCGAAATCCCTCTCTCGGGGGCCATGCCCGACCTAATCCTAGCGCTCCCTCAGGGCACGAGGCGCCGGAACGGCGCCAGCCAGACTGACTGCGCCAACGTCGAGCGCTGCCGCGCCCGCAGCGGCAGCGGCCAGAGCTCCTCGGGAGCCCCGCACAAAGCTTCTGCTGCGGGGGCGGGATGCCCCTGCCCGCCCTCCTCCTCCTCCTCCTCCTCCTCCTCCTCCTCTTCCTCCTCCTCCTCCTCCTCCTCCTCCTGCTGTTTCTCCTCCTCCTCCTCCTCCCAACACGAATCGGCAGATCTTAGCTTCAGCCACGAGCGTGGGGCTCCCAGGCCTGACCTTCGACTGCGACGGGCGTCCAACGGCCTGTGTAGCCCAAAGCCCGGGTCGCAGGGCGCCCGAAGGGCGTGAATGGGCTCGGCGAAGCACTCCGCCAGGGCCTGGAGAGAGCTTCCGAAGGTCCTTCTGGCGAGCTTCCCGGCACGCGTATGGGGAAACGCTCAGTCAGGGGCCTGCCGGAACACGTTTCTGGCTCAAGCAAGTCGCGCCCAGGCTTCTGGACCGCCGCCGATACGATCTTTGGGGCTACCCTGCGACGGGCGTCCAATGACAGCCGTGGCCATTCCAGCACACGCGGTCTCGACTGAGCTCCGCCAGTGGGGGAAGGCTGCGGGCTCGGGGGCGCAAGCGCCCCACGATGGGCAGTGCCCCTTTGACGGCCACATGTCGGGCGCGGGCGCCGGGCGGCCTGCGCCAGAGAAGGCTGGGGCCTCACCCAGGCTCCCGCGCGGCTCCCGCGGAACCAAATTTTGCCCAGATGGTCCCGCCCTAGTCGTGGCACAAAGCGGCGGTCGATCAGGTGCGACCTTCCGGGGTCTTCCTGGAGCCAGTGGAATTCCTAAACCACCTGTTGAAGTAGCCCTGGACTCCGCGTCGCGGAATGGGGGGTTGGTCACTGCAACCGGCTGTGCGCATCCACCCTCCCCGTCAGCGTCGATGACATGAGAACGCGTGACAAACGCCTGCATTTAACATCAGCGCTCAAGAATGCAAGGTGCAAAATGAGGCCCCAGCGGGCGATCTCTGCGAATTGCTTTCGCCAGCTTCACCGAGATTCTGCCAGGTTGGTGCTCGTGCGCGGCGCGAAGTCATTCTCAGAGGCCGGCGCGCCCGCAGCCGCAGTCTGGCCACCTCGCGGCCGCGAAAGGCGGAGCAGTGCTCTCGGTGCCCGGCGCATGCTCTTTGCGAGGGCGGGGCGCCCGTGCTTGTCCATCAACAGGGCTGGGCATCCTGGCAGCAGGTGCGAAGAGCGGACTCCCATGCCGCTCCATCGACAGGGATCGGCATCCAGGCCATGCCTGGGCCCTCTGAGAGCCGTTCACAGCAAAAGTGCCATGCCCGCAACGGCAACGTGGTCATGCCACGGCCACTGGTGCTGACCAGATATCGCTGTGCCGAGCAAAATCCGCATTGCCAGGATGGATTGCCCGTGTGCATCCACCGACATGGATGGGTATCCTAGCTGCAGGGACGAGGGGCGGATCCCAGCGCCTGTCCATCAATAGGGGTGGCCATCCAGGCTAACGCTTCCTCTACTGAATGCCGACACTGGGGCGGGGTCTGCCGGCTCCTGGGCGAGACCCGAACCGAGACGCAACATGTGTTGTTGCACGTAGCGGGCCCCGCCAGGCGAACGTCATCTCGCCTCATTCCCCGGTGTTCTCTGCGCCGCGAGGTCGTAGGCGCACCTCGGGCACTCTTTTTCCCAACTATCCTGTGGTGTTGGGTCCTCGTTTTGAAGAGACAGCGCCCCGCGTTCCGTCCTTCCTTCCTCCTCCCCCCCCTCCTCCCTCCTCCATCGTCCGCGTCATCATCATCGCCATCATACAGCGACTTGTCGGCATTTGTGGCAACTCCGCGGCCGTATTCCCTCGCTCAAGTTCTAAAGGAATGCAAGCATTCTTTGAGCGGGTCTGCGCCGACCTCACCAGTGCCCTCACCACTGCCATTATAGTTCGCGGCAGCTCGACGCCCTGCCCAGATTGCGTCTGCTCTCCAGCGCTGCACTGCCCTGCGTTGGAGTGCCGCTGCCCGACAGGCGAGGGCTCCCTGGCATCCGTGCAGCCCACAGGCTGGTCAACTGAGTTCGTGGTCGTGCTCGTGGTGAGCTCCTTCGCATACGACATCGTCGTAGGCGGCTTCTTCATCGAGAGCTCTCGGACGGCCCCCGTGGTTCAGCGCGCACCCGCTCCAGCACCTCAGCACGAGACGGTGGGCGCTCTCGACCTTGCGACGGCGGCCGCTGCCCAGGCGAGGAAGTTCCGCCGCTAGGAGCAATGGCTGCTCGCACCTCTGGCCAGTTCCACTACGTACGGTACAACGTCGGGGGGCCCGCCATCTACCACGAGAGGCTCACGTTGCTGCCAGGGTACATCCTCACCCCCGACGATGACGACTACCCGAAGAGCGACATGGCTGGTGGCGACTTGAGATCAGTGCATGACTCGGCGGGCCAGGGCGACGCGATCGTCGGAGTCGCCGCCCATAGCCTCTACAAGTTCAGACGGCTGCCGTCCGCAGCCGTCGTCTGGGCTGCTGTGCGCCGCGGCGTCGCTCAAGGCCACGGACCTCTGCCGCCGTCGCCCTTCAGCCTCGAGCTCAGCGCCGACAACGTTCTGGGCGTGGCGGCGGGGGCGCTGGCCTTGCCCGACCCGCTCGGAGCGGCGCCCGCTGCCGCAGCGCCTGGCGCGCTGGCCTTGGCGGGCGCGGCCGCGCCCCCCGCGGGCGCCCCTGGGCCGCCCGCCGCGGTGGCCGCGGCGCCCGGGGGCGGGGCGGGCGCGCTGGCGGCGGCGCTCGGTGCGGGGGGAGCCGCCCTGCCTGCTGCCGCGGACCCTTTGGGCGTCGGCGGCGCCGCCGTGGCCCCCGCCGCCCCAGGCGTCGCGGGGCCTGATCCCCGCGTGATGGCCACCGTGCTCGACGCCCGTGGGCTGCGGGACATGCCCTTCAGTGGCGCCGTGAAGCGCCAGACCGAGACCGCCCGCGCCGACTGGCCCGTGAGGGGCCCAAGGACCACGATGTGGGTGCTCCACTTCATGCTGCGCATGGCTGGCGGGGCGATGGCGTGGCACAACCGCTGGATGGCCATGACGCAGGCCCTGGAGACGGGCGACGCCGCCAAGCTCCACGAGACGCTGTGCCGCGTCATCGAGACCTCGCTCTGCCACGACCAGCTGATCATCTGCGAGCTGGCCTCCTACGAGTTCCTGTCGCGGCAGCTGCAGTTGGTGGAGGAGCGCTTCTTCGAGGGGCGCGCGCGCAGGACTCAGCCTGCGCCCAAGGCCAAGGGCCAGGCCAAGGACGGCGCCACGTCCGCGGCCGCCGAGGTCTCCTCGGAGATTGGCCACTTCCTCGGCACGGGAGAGACGATGGACAACTCGTGCATTTGCCCAGCCTTGATGGATTGGATCGCCGACCAGATGAAGAGTGAGGCCGCTGTTGCAAAAGAACGTCGCAAGGCTCGCGAGGAGCGGGCCTTGCGGCATCCATGACGTTCCTGAAGGACGCTGGCCAGGAGGGGCCTTGCGACGTGTCACCGGTTCGTGAGCCTGGCCAGCTTGGCCCCGAGCCTTTCGAGGCCCCACCTGGCTTGGAGTCGCCCAGACGAGGTGACCGTCGCCAGCGTGACGTTTTTCCGCTTCCTCCTCTTTTAGTGGATGGGCGTCGCCATCTTCCGCTTGGTCGGGGTGCTCGTCTGCGGGCCGCCAAAGGCGCGAGCTGGAGAGAGTGGTGCAACGAGGGGTTGGCTGCTCTCAACTGGCTCCACTGCGGCAAGGGCGAGCCCTCCATGCCTGACGACGGGGGGCCACCGCCTGCGGCCGAGGCAGCCTCAGTGGACTACATCGCGGGCTTGTACCGCGACTTCGAGCTGCCCGCCGCCTACTCGGAGAGAGGCCGCGATTGCGAAGCATCCCTCGTAGAGATGCTCGCGCGGGCACCTGGCTACGCTGGCGACAGCGGTCGTGTGCGCCCCTTCAGCATGCCACTTGTGGCCTGGCCCGAGTCGACGAAGGCAGTCTCCACCTGCGGCGTCGTCTCCGAGGCCGACTCCATCGTGCTGCAGGATTGGAGGCAGGGTATGCTGAATCCAGAGTCGGCGGCGGCGGAGCTCCGTGAATCGTTGGGGGTTAATCGCCCCTATGTGGATCCTGAGCTGCGCTTTAAGCCGAAGTCCTACGCTGAGTTTTTGAAGCAGCTGGAGGCCCGCGACATGATCACCTGGCGGGTCTCCAGCGAGCAGGCACCCTTCTCTACTGGTCTTTTCTTTGTGCTGAAAGCTAACGGCAAGCTGAGGCAGGTGTTCGACACCAGGCTGGCCAACTGCAGCTTCTCGTGCCCACCAGCCACTCGCCTGCCCACGCCCAGCGCGTGGGCCAGCCTTGTGACTGCGACGACAGTTTTCAGTTCGCGCAGGGCGACATTCAGTGTGCTTTCCATCATTTGCGACTGCCAGCTGGCATGGAGTCTCTGTTCTCTTTGCCACCGATAAACAACAGATTCCTCGGCCTCAAGTCGGTCAACGGGGTTCGTCTTGGCATCAACGACTATGTCCAGCCTCTTGTCACGGTCGTTCCCATGGGGTGGAGTTGGGCTCTACACCTGTGCCAGAGTGCGCTGACGAGAGCTTTGTCGGATGTCGGGTTTGGCAGTAACGATATGATTCTGGATGGGGGATGTCCTCGTCCCTTGGTGGCTGAGAAGGACGCGGTGTGTGCTGGTTATGTTGACAACTTCTGTGTCGTATCCAAGTGCGCGGAGACAGCCACGTCCCTTGCTCGTGCCGTTGCTGACCTTCTCACTGCCCGCGGGTTGCCTGTCTTGGAGTTCCCCCCTGCGGTCAGTAAGGGGGTCTTCACAGGCTTGGAGATCGACGGAACCTCTGGGATCATTCGCGTTCGTCCTGGCCGCCTCGCTCGCACTCGTCAAGCCGTTCTCGGACTGTTGAAGCGTGGGCGGGCCTCTGCTGGGGCCCTCAGCGTGCTCGTAGGCCACTGTGCCTGGGGGATGATCCTGAGGCGCGACGTTCTGAGCATCTTTAACGCGGTCTATCGGTTCATGGGGGCTGTGGGACCCCATCCTGGACCCTTGTGGCCCTCGGTCGTCAGGGAGTTGTCGGCTGCCGTGGCCCTCATCCCGCTCTGGAGTGCCTCTACAAGGTCTCGCTGGTATCCACGGGTGCATGCTTCTGATGCGTCGCCGCTCGGCAAGGGTGTCTGTGTCAAGGAGGTCTCCCCTACGCTGTCGTCCGAGGTCGGCCGGGTCGCCGAACGTTGGAGGTATCGTCATGGGGATGTTGTGCTTGCCAGATCACACGCCCTAGACGTCGACGGTCGAGACGATGCTGCCGACGGTTGCCGTGCCGACACATCGTCTACGGCTCCTACTGCTTCGTCGTCAGGGCTCAGTGGGTTCTACGAGGTTCCTGAGTCCATCTACGGGGCCGAGGGTTGGAAGACCATTCACTCTAGCCGTCACACCCGACGGGGCTGCGATATCCTTCAGTACGAGGCGGAGGCCCTGGGGTTCAGCGTCCATCACGCTTCGAGGGCCCTGGGTGCTCATCATCATCGCGTCGTCTGCATTGTGGACGATTTGGCTCTAGCCCTTTCGGTCGGCAAGGGGCGGTCTGGGGGCCGTCATCTTCTCCGCGCCCTGCGGCGCATCGCTGGCGTGGCCCTCGCCTGTGGCCTGCGCCTGCTCGTGCGGTGGGTGCCGTCAGGACAAGCCGTCGAGGGAGGGCTTCTTCGTCGGCCCTAGCTTCGAGGACGTCGGGTCGCACCTCGTCTCGCGCCGCCCGCGGATCCCCCAGGGAGGTGATCAAGGCGGCGCGGGGCCAGCGGGAACATCCTGGTCCGCTGACACTCCTGCGGGGCGGACTGTCGGTGCTGGAGGCCTACGCGGTCTCGGAGCCGACGGGCGGGAACTACCACGCCTCCGCCCTCAGGTTTCTGAACTGGTGCCTCTGGACCGCCAGGGACTTCACGAACAGCGTCGAGCTCGTCGCGATCCTCGTGGTGTCCTTCGTCCACCTGTTCCTCGACGGGTACGACAGTGCGACGGGCCGCGTCACGATGGCCTCTCCGAAGCACCAGTTGCCGTCGATGCTGATGGGGAGCCGCCCGCTGCCACGGGCCTTGCGGGCCCGCCAGGGCTGGGCGAAGCTTGTGCCGCCGCAGATGCGGCCCCCGCTGCCGAGGGTCGCGAGGCTCGCCATCGCGGGCGCGCTGGTGTCTCAGGGCCTTCTGTCGCAGGCGGCCCTCGTGAGGATTGCGTTCGACACCTACCTGCGCCCCAGCGAGGCCTACCGACTCACGGCGGCCTCCCTGATCGCTCCGAGGTCGGGCTCCACGGACGGTTACCAGCATTGGGCGTTGCTGGTGAACGACGCGGCGAGCGGGAGGCCTGGCAAGACGGGGGTCTCCGACGAGAGCGTCATCGTCGACGATCCGCATCTCTGGCCTCTCCTCGAGGCGTCGCGGCAAGGGCGCCGCGCGGAGGAGAGCCTCTGCCCCTTCACGCCACACCAGCTGCGGCGCGCCTTCGCGGAGGCCCTGGTCCTCCTCGGCATGGGCGTGATGGCGAGGGCGGGCTTCTTCTCGCTGCCGCTGCCGCCCCTGAGGCCGCTGTCGGCGCCACCGCCGGTGCAGACGGCTCCCGTGAGGACCGACATGTGGCTCTTCGGGTGGGGCGCCTGTGGCGACGAGCGCGGGCGCATGCCACTGTAATGCCTTACCTCATCATGCTCTGCACCTGTGTCCCCGACCGTGTTCGGCGAGTGTGCGAGGCCCGCGGGCTCGGCACCGTAGCGGTGAACTTTGCTCGTCACCGCCTCGACGACCTCGCTGACCCTCAGGTCTTGAAGGCTCTGACTGGCTGGGTGCGCGCCTCAGCTGTGCTTGGTGTCTGGGCATCCTTGCCCTGGGGCACCTGGGCGCCAGGGGCCGCGCGTGTCCGCAAGGTTGATTCTCTGTTGCGCGTACATGGAGCCTCAGAGGCCGCCTGTCGTGCCGTGCGAGTTGCCAACGCGCTGGCAGATTCCACCTTCAAATTTATTGCTGAATGTATCTTCCGCCGAGCCCCGATCATTTTTATGCACCCTGAGTCGAGCCTCATCTGGAGGCATCCCCGCTTGTCCCCTCTCCCTGCCTCGTCCTCCTCTTCCTGCTCCCTCGACTCTTGCATGTATGCGGGTCGCGTGAGACAGCGAATCCACCTTGTCGGTTGGGGCGTGCGGGACCTTGAGTGCCTCGCTCGTCGTTGCCTCTGCGCCCAAGGCCTTTGTGATCGCACTCAGAGACGTCACCTGGGAGGCCTGGGGCGTCCAGCTCTTGGCGCCGTAGCTCGGGCCTCTGCTAAGGGTATCCCCTCAGAAGTGGCCATTGCTGGCACTGAAATGATAGTGGCCGAAGCTCGTCATCTGTCCCGCGCCGCGAGATATACGAATTTTTTTTGTCAATGAGTAATTCGGCTGTTGCCACCTGGTCAGACTAGCGTGGGGTACCGAGTCTGTGCTTCACTGCTGGCGTAGCGCTCGTGGCCGCCCTCCGCCGTTCGCACAAATATGAAACAAGATGGCCCCGCATCGACCACATACAGCGACTTGTCGGCATTTGTGGCAGCTCCGCGGCCGTATTCCCTCGCGCAAGCTCTACCCTGGGCCCTCCCACCCACTTGAGTTTTAATGTTTCTCCGAGTCTGTGCTTCGCTGCTGGCGTAGCGCTCGTGGCCGCCCTCCGCCGTTCGCACAAAGATGAGACAAGATGGCCCCGTATCGACCACATCATCATCATCATCATCGACGTCATCATCATAATCACCATATTATTCATCATCTTCATCATCATCTTCTTCATCGGCACCATCACCACCATCATCAGCATAGTCATCATGGCCACCATCACCACCGTCATCGTCATCACCACTGCCGTCATCATCACCATCAACGCCATCAGCTTCGACACACACACACACACCTCACACGTTTCGTGTCCCCACAGGGAGCTCCACCGAAGGCCCGAGTGGCTGCGTTCGCATGCGCCCGCCGCACCCATGCAGGCATACCCTTCAAAAGTTTCGTGCTCCCATATGGGGCTCCACCAACGGCGCCAGTGGCTGCGTTCGCATGCGCCCGCCGCACCTACTTCGGCACACACCTCATACGTTTCGCGGCCCCATCGGGAGTTCGGTTCCAGTGGCTGCATTCGCATGCGCCCACCGAGTCCATTTTTTGGCACGCCCTGCACAAGCTTCGTGGCACCATAGGGAACTCCATCGACGGCCCCAGTGGTTGCGTTCGCGTGCACCCACCGAGTCCATCTTTGGCACGCCCCGCACAAGCTTCGTGGCACCATAGGGAACTCCATCGACGGCCCCAGTGGCTGCGTTCGCATGCGCCCAGCGCGCCTATTTGTGGCACACTCTTTCACGTTTCCTTCCACCATATGTAGCTCCACCGACGCCCCCAGTGGCTGCGTTCGCATGCGTTTGCCGAGTCCACTTTTGGCACGCCCCGCACACGCTTCGTGGCCCCATAGGGAACTCCACCGACGGCCCCTGTGGCTGCGTTCGCATGGGCACACCGAGTCTTCTTATGGCACGCCCCGCACACGTTTCGTGGCCCCAGAGGGAGCTCCACCGACAGCCCCAGTGGTTGCGTTCGCATGCGCCCGCCGCATCCATTCTGGCACACCCCTCGCACGCTTCGTGGCCCCAGAGGGAGCCCCACCGACGGCCCCACTGGCTGCGTTCGCATGCACCCACCGAGTACATTTTTGGCACGCCCCGCACACGCTTCGTGCCCCAATAGGGAGCTCCACCGACGGCCCCAGTGGCCGCGTTCGCATGCGCCCACCGTGCCGAGTTGTGGTACACCATTACGTTTCGTGTCCCCATACGAAGCTCCACCGAAGGCCCTGGTGGCTGCGTTCGCAAGCGCCCACCGCATCCATTTTGGCACACCCCTCATACGCTTCGCGGCCCCTATCAGCCGACGGCCCCAGTGGCTGCGTTCGCATGCGCCCACCGCATCCATTTTGGCACACCCCTCATACGCTTCGCGGCCCCTATCAGCCGACGGCCCCAGTGGCTGCGTTCGCATGCGCCCACCACCACCTTTTTTCAATTTCGGCACACCCTCGCACATGTCGTCGCCCCCCTAGGGAATTCCACCGACGGCCCCAGTGGCTGTTTTCACATGCGCCCACCGCACATCTGTTGGCACACCCTCACACGGCTCGCGCCACCATATGGAGCTCCACCGACGGCGGCGCCAGTGGCTGCGTTCGCATGCGCCCGCCGCACCTACTTCGGCGCACACCTTGCACGTTTCATGGCCCCATGAGTTCAATAGACGGCCCCAGTGGCTGCGTTCGCATGCGCCCACCGAGTCCATTTTTGGCACGCCCCGCACACGCTTCGTGGCCCCATAGGGAATTTCACGGACGGCCCCACTGGCTGCGTTCGCATGCACCTACCGAGTCCATTTTTGGCACGCCCCGCACACGCTTCGTGGCCCAATAGGGAGCTCCACCGACGGCCCCAGTGGCTGCGTTCGCATGCGCCCACCGTACCCGCTCTGGCACACCCATAGGGAGCTCCACCGACGCCCCCAGTGGCTGCGTTCGCATGCGTCCACCGCACCTATTGTTGTATGCCCCTCGCACGCTTCGCGGCCCAAGAGGGAGCTCCACCGACGGCCCCAGTGGCTGCGTTCGCATGCGCCCACCGAGTCTATTTTTGGCATCCCCCCCACACGTGCCGTGGCCCCACAGGGAGCCCCACGGTGGCTGTGTTCGCATGCGCCCACCGTGCCGATTTGGGCACACCCCTTACACGTGTCGCGGCCCCATACGGAGCTCCACCGGCGGCCCCAGTGGCTGCGTTCGCATGCGCCCACCGCACCTACTTCGGCACACACCTCATACGTTTAGCGGCCCCATAAGGAGCTCCACCGACGGCACGAATGGTTGCGTTCGCATGCGCCCACCACCTTTTTAAAATTCCGGCATGCCCCGCACACTTGTCGTGGCCCCATAGGGAATTTCACCGACGGCCCCAGTGGCTGTGTTCGCATGCGCCCACCGCACAAGTTTTGGCACACCATTCACACGTTTCGTCGCCCTATAGGGAGCTTCTCCGAATGCGGTGCATGGAACGACGGAGTTCACAACTGCATATGGTTGGGTCCTTCGCCAGGCTAATTTTCTTACTCTCGTCGCCACGACCTCGGTGAGCTGCGTTGCGCAGTTGGGGAGATCGCACGCGCGCATGCGCTCTCCTAGCGTGCGATTCCGCTATCGCTTGTGAAGGTGCTTCGGATGCATCCTTTCCACTACCCGCGCGTCCAATAGAATGCGCGGCCTAATTGACTTGAGTTTCCATCGAGATTCCGCCAGATTCGTGCTCACGCGTGGCTTGAAGGAACTGTCGGTGGACGCCGCTCCCGCCCGCATCAGCAAATTTGGACATCTCGAGGTTACTGAGGCGGGCAAAAGTTCTCGGTGCCGATCGCACCATTTTTGCGAGGGTGGGATGCCCGTGCCTGTCCATCAACAGGGATGGGCATCCTAGCTGTTGGGCACGAGGAGCGGATTTCCCGTGCCTGTCCATTGACAGGGATGGGCATCCAGGCCAACATGGTGCCTACTGAACGCCGTCAATATTGTAATGAAAGTGCGGCGCCCGCAACGTCCGCGGATGCGGACCAGAATCCCGCGAGCTGCTAAAGTCCTCTCTGCGAGGATGGGATGCCCGTGTCTGTCCATCGACAGGGGTGGGCAACCCAGCCTCAGGCACGAGGTGCGGATGCCGATGCCTGTCCATCGACAGGTGTAGCCATCTAGGCTAACACGGCTTCTACTGACCGCCGCCAATGGGTGGGGTTGCCGGCTCCTGTGCTAGACGGCCAGACGCGAACCGAGACGCAACATTTGGACCGAAAACGGCCTCGAGAGAGCTTCCGAGCTAGCGTGATATCATATTATACTTTACCGGCAGCGGAATAGGGGCATCTACCACCTATTTTGCACGTCGGGGTCTTGAGTCCATGGCTCGGACATGGGCGGTCGCCAGTCATTCCAGTTAACTCATCGGCCACCCCTTCCTGCTTGGACATGATCGGTCGCCGACATGGCAGGGACCTAGCTGGTCTTCGCCGGTGCGGGGACCTCTTCGGTCACCCCTCCTAGCGGTGAGCTCTTTGGCTGCCCCTCGTAGCGGGGACTCGGACGGGGACCTTATCGGTCACCTCTCACACTGGTCATTTGTCATAGCGAAGACCAGATCGGTCACCCCTCAGCGGGGTCTTAATCGGCCACCTTCGATTGGAATCCTCCTGGGATCTCCTTGCTGCGGTGTCCTTGGCATCTGTTTGCGTCCCCGTGCTCCCAGACGGGTTTCGCTGGGCCCAACGCTCCAAATGCCCAGCAAGATCCTTATTGTGCGGGATGACCAGACTTATCCATCAGTAGGGAGGATGGGCATTCTAGCAGCAGGCACGAGGAACAGATGCCCATGTCTGATTGGCACCCAGGCCAGCACGGTGCCTACTGAATGCTGTCAGCGGCGAAAGTGCCACGCCGGCAACGGCAATACGGCTGGCAATCTCTTGTCAGGCGGACCAGAGTTTCTTGTGCCCAGCAAAGCCCTCCATGCGAAGGCGGGGTGCCCATACCTGCCCGTCAACAGGGATGGGAGTCCTAGTGGCTTCAAGCACGGGAGGCGGTTGCCCGTGCTTGTCCATCGACGGGGATGCACATCCGGGCCCCTACGGGCCTACCTCGCTGGGGAGGGCTGGCTGCCCTGCATGTGAGGACAAGATCCCTGGCCACGGTTGCCTGGCCACTCACTGGGTATGGGGCTATCTCAAGGTGCTCTTCGAGTTCTGGGAACTCGTAGTGGTGCCCCCTGCGTCTCCTAAGCTTGTCCCCTTTACTGAGTAACGAATGGCGTCGGCACGTGGAGGAGGAGGAGGAGGAGAGGAGGAGGAGGAGGGGGGGGAGGAGGAGGAGGAGGAGAGGAAGAGGAGGAGGAGGAGGACGAGGACGACTCTCCATCCTCCTCCATGCTCGCGCGTCTTCCTTCCTCCTTCTCCTCGTCCTCCTCCTCCTCCTCCTCCTCCACGTGCCGGATACGTAGAGAGAGAGCGTGGAGAGTGGAGGTACGTACGAGAATGGGGGGCTGGGGAGGGTGGTTCAGGTAAGAGGGAGGAGGGGGCAGAAGGATCGTGGGAGGAGGACGGCGGATAGAGGGAGGAGGGAGGGATGCTAGGGGGAAGAGGGTGAAGGGGCGGATCTGCGGAAGCAGGAGAGGAGAAGCGAGATGGGGAGAACGAGAAAGGAAGGGAGAGGGATCGACGCAGGGAGGTGGCAGTGAAGGAGGAGAGGGCTGAGGTCGCAGAAGACTAGGCCGATGAGGAAGGCAAGCAAGGAAGGGGTAGGACATGAAACGGGGACGAAGGAGAGGATGACGGGGAGGTTTAGAGAACAAGGGGGAACGTGTCAAAGTTCGCGGTGCATCCAGATTGGGCTGGCGCCCTCTGGTTCGTACATGACGGGGACGTACCCGTCGGTTTGAGTGTCGGTGGGTGCACTATTGGTGGTGGCTCAGGCGTGTGTTTGTGGACGGATTTTCGGTTACCACCGAATCAAAAGGCATGCGAGCTTGGCGGACATGGACAGGGGCTTCACCGCTCATCAGGAGCGGAAACGCAGCCTGCCACGCGGACGTATTTTCCAAGCAGGGTATTGTGCTCTACCCTCGCTACAATCTAAAACCCTTGTGGATGAGGCGTAGGGAGAGCTAGGATGGCTCACGCTGTTGGTTTCGGAGGTTCGGATGGCAGCACTTGGGCGGGGACTTATAATCTGCTCGAGACTCAGGAGGGTCGGCCAGACTGCCAGACCTTGGCGTCGAGTTCGCCAGCTCTGAATACATAACGTCTGGCGAGTGTGCCCTTACCTAACGACATGACACTGATTGGGGCCCGCAGCAGAGCGGCTTCTCAGCTTCTAGGTGGTTTGGGCTGCGGATCATGAGTTGTGCGCGTCATCGCTGTTCAGGTCGCCGCGGCGGTCAACCAAGTAGATGAGCACGCGATGATTGTTGCAAGGGTAACGATTGCACAGCCTCTGTGGCTTGGATTTGGGCGGCATCAACGTTCACCTCGGTTTGTCGCGGAGCCTCTCGCACAAAGGATCTTCGAAGGCAGCGGAGCCGAGTGGCAGAATGAAAGGCCTCCAGCTTGGTATTCCAACAGATGGGAGGGACTCTGGATCGTCCTAAAGGCTTTCCACGGCAACATCACATCTTCGCTCAAGCGCGTTGTGAGTCGTTGATTTGCCCAGTCCAGGGGTCAAGGCAGGACAAGCGAGGCATACCAGGTCTCAGTCCCGACTCGCTTCAAGAGCTGGCCGCGGTAGCCGTGACCATCAGAGAGTGTTTCCAGCAGTTGCCATGTGAAGGCTGTTTTCGACGATGAATGTGCCTCTTGCGGAACGGTTTGGGCAATCTGTATGCCAATGTGTGCGCTTCGTCTCCTGAGGAGGACTGGGGTGACTGGGGTGATGAGGAGAAACAGTAGCCAGGTGAGGATGATGAACGAGGACGTGGATGGGGAATACTGATGGAGGATACTTAGCACTTTGTGTTGAGAGAAAGAAGGTATGCATGGGGCTACAATGGACAAGGGCAGATAATGGAAGAAAGGAAAGGATATGTGAACCAGTGCAAGGATTCGGATGATGATCTGCGAGACATGTGAGCAACATCGAGATGCAGTGTCAAACGGGGCCCTGCTCCGAAGCATGAGCCGAGGAGGAGGAGGACGAGACGGAGACGGAGACGGAGACGGAGGAGGAGGAGGAGGAGGAGAAGGAGGAGGAGGAGGAGGAGGAGGAGGAGGAGGACAGCGTGTAGGGGCTGCAGAATGCGGAGGATATGGAGGATGAGGAAGAGGAAGAGTAGGATGATGAGTAGGAGGAGGAGGAGGAGGAGGAGGAGGAGGAGGTCCGAGGAGGAGGAGGAGGAGGAGGAGGTCGGAGGAGGAGGAGGGCGGGGAGGAGGCCGCGAGGTCTGGCAGACGGCCCCGCTACAGAGACGCTGGGGGCCCGGTTGGGAGAGGCCTACGTCGTGTACTTGGCCCTCAGGGGAGGCATCAACGCCGGCGGCGCAGCCGGCGCCGGCCGGTCGGCCACCGGGTGCCAGCCCAGCACTGGCTTCACCTTGGTCGTCGACCTGCTACTCCTCATCATGCTTCTCGCCCACTCCCCTTCTTCACATCTCTCTTCTTCCTCCCCAGCTTCCACACCTCCCTCCTCCCAGTTGTTTTCCGTGAGGGCTTCGCTCTATGCCTTTGGTCCCCTCTACGTTGTGATGGGGGATGCCAGAGCTATGCCGGGACGTGTCGGCGCTGTCTTGAAAAAACGTCGGGGAGTATCATGCGAAGAGGATTGGCACTCAGGAAGCAGCTTGAGGTGATGGAGTTGTCTCCTTCTTTGCTTTGAGCGCGCATCTGGGATAATTTGCGAGAGGTTCTGAGCTCGGGAGCGCGAGCCTCGCGTAACTTACAGCACAGTTTTTTGGGTTCCGGGAGCGCGAATCAGGTTCAGTTTGCGCTTCGCGAGCGCGCTTCTGGTACGACTGAGTTGTTCCTGGGGAGGGCATGTTTTCGTGCCCCAGGGCCCACCCCAAATTCAGGCGAGGCGCTTCGGGGACGGGGCCAGGGTGGTTTTCGGCTCCCCACTCCTCGCACGGACAGCAACAGTTTGCAGTAGGGGGCAGGCAGTTCTAGTGTAACGTTGGAGACTGGAACCTGGAACTGGAGCAGGCTGCAGGGAACTCAGCCGCGCAGCCTGATGCCCCCACAATGGGGCCAGCGGATCCCGCTCTCCTTCTCCTGATTCCCTGCTCCTTCTCATCCTCCTCCTCCTCCGCCTTATCGCCACCTCTCCTCCGCCTCTCCATCTTCTCGTCCTTCCCGCCGTCGAGCCAGTTTGCAGGGACGTCCACGATCGCATCTTTTGAAGCCTTTCTTGATCGGCGTCTCCTCCTCCATCTCCTTCCTATCCTCCTCGCTGCCCGACGAGAGACAGGGGGGGGCGGTGGCGGGCCCCAAGCAGCCCTTTCGTGCCACAGGCCGGACGTGATGGGGCGCCGCCCCTGTGGTGCAGCCTGCGCAGCGGGCGGAGTGCACATCCCGGGCTGCAGCGCAGGGGGCGCCCGGGCGCAGCCGCTGTCGTGCAGTCCACGCTGTGGCACCTCTCGTCGCTCCGCTGGGGGCGCCCAGCTCTCGGGGAGCGCCGGGCCCGCCGCGAGCCGCGGGGCCGCCGGCCGAGGCCAGCTGGGAGAAGGGCCTGCGCGACGCGCGGGTGCGCCCCGCCCGCCCCCCGCCCTCCCGGGCCGGCCGGCCGCTCGGCCCACGCCCTCCGCATCCCAAGGGGGCGGACCTCCTTTGGGGGTAGCGGTGGAGGACTTCTCCGAAGGGCTTAGGCGACCACTCCTCCTCCTCCTCCTCCTCCTCCTCCAGAAGTGCGCTATTCTACGGTTCGATGGTTTAAGCAGTGGCTGAATGGAATGTTCCCAAGCCGACCGGGGAAATGAGCAGTGGCCGAAGACTTCGCTCGTATTAAACGTAGTTGTGTGTCGTCGATGCAAGAGCCGAGAAACAAGATCATTAATTACCCTCAAGGAGACCGCACAGGTTCCAGGCAAAATGACCGGGGAATCACCCAACTGCCGGGAACTAGTAGTAGAAGTATGAGTAGATAAGTAGTCGTAGTAGTAGTAGTAGTAGTAGTAGTAGTAGTAGTAGTAGTAGTAGTAGTAGTAGTAGTAGTAGTAGTAGGAGTAGGAGTAGTAGTAGTAGTCGTAGTCGTAGTAGTAGTAGTAGTAGTAGTAGTAGTAGTAGTAGTAGTAGTAGTAGTAGTAGTCGTAGTCGTAGTCGTAGTCGTAGTCGTAGTCGTAGTAGTAGTAGTAGTAGTAGTAGTAGTAGTAGTAGTAGTAGTAGTAGTATAGTAGTAGTAGTAGTAGTAGTAGTAGTAGTAGTAGTAGTAGCAGCAGTAGTAGCAGCAGTGGAAGTAGTAGTAGTAGTAGTAGCAGTAGTAGTAGTAGTAGTAGTAGTAGTAGTAGTAGTAGTAGTAATCGTCGTCGTGTCGTCGTTAGTCGTAGTTGTAGTAGTCGTGTTAGTAGTAGTCCTAGTACTACCAGTAGTATAGCAGTAGTAGTGGTAGTAGTTAGTAGTAGTTGTAGTAGTAGTCGTAGTAGTCGTCGTCGTCGTCGTCGTAGTAGTAGTCGTAGTAGTAGTAGTAGTTAGTAGTATAGTAGTAGTTTAGTAGTAGTTAGTATTAGTAGTAGTAGTCGTAGTAGTAGTAGTAGTAGTAGTAGTAATAGTAAGTAGTATTAGTTAGTAGTAGTCGTAGGAGTAGGAGTAGTCGAACAAGTAGTCGTAAAGCTAGTAGTAGTAGTAGTAGTAGTAGTAGCAGAAGTAGTAGTAGTAGTAGTAGTAGTAGTAGTAGTAGTAGTAGTAGCAGTGGTAGAAGAAGTGGTGGTAGTAGTAGTAGTAGTAATAGTAGTAGTAGTAGTATTAGTAGCAGTAGTAGTAGTAGTTGTTGTTGTAGCAGTAGTATTTGTAGTAGTAATAGTAGTCGTTGTTTGAGTAGTGGCAGTAGTAGTAGTAGTAGTAGTAGTAGTAGTAGTAGTAGTAGTAGTAGTAGTGGTAGTAGTAGTAGTAGTAGTAGTACGAGTAGTAGTAGTACGAGTAGTCGTAGACGTAGTGATGGTAGCAAGAGTAGTCGTAGTAGCAGCAGCATTATCAGCGACAGTGATACTATTCGTAATCGCTTGCATGGTCGCAATAGTAGCAGTGATGGTGGTAGTAGTAGTAGTAGTAGTAGTAGTAGTAGTAGTAGTAGTAGTAGTAGTAGTAGTAGTAGTAGTAGTAGTAGTAGTAGTAGTAGTTTAGTAGTTAGTAGTAGTAGTAGTAGTAGTAGTAGTAGTAGTAGTAGTAGTAGTAGTAGTAGTAGTAGTAGTAGTCGTAGTAGTAGTAGTAGTAGTAGTAGTAGTAGTAGTAGTAGTAGTAGTAGTAGTAGTAGTAGTAGTAG